AGGACAGCCCAGAGCTTCAACTATGCCTGAGTTCACTGCTCCTCACTCCACTCAGCAGGCAGGTGGGGTCTGTGCACTCAGCAGGCAGGTGGGGTCTGTGAACTCAGCAGGCAGGTGGGGTCTGTGAACTCAGCAGGCAGGTGGGGTCTGTGAACTGGCCAGCAGGTCTGGGAGTCTGGGGTGACCTTGCTTAGGCACAGTCTCACGCACCCTTCTCTTGCAAACCCCTAAAATGCGCACAGCTACAGGAAGACCCCCCAGCTAGGTGCAGTCACGACTCCAGCCAGACCCCGCTTTCAGCTCAGGTTTAACAGGAACAAGCAGACTGGCAACGTTATCAAGTTAGAGCACCCCACACCCCCAAGCCTGCCCCCCACCCCCGACAGCTTGAGCCCGGCTGACACCCCAGGCCTGCCAGCAGCTCCCAGAGCCAAGCTGCTGCCCGGATGTTTGAACTTCGCTTCCTTCCTGTCTTATGTGCGTCTCTCGGGGCCGATCTAATCAAGAGTTAGACTTGGCTGCTTCCATTTCCATCCCCTTCCAAGTTTTGAAGTCACTGGCTTTTCAAAGTAACTGCAGAGGAGAGAAAAGCTCCTCAGGCAGCTCCGTGTACCTGCAAAGGCTCCGGTGCCAGCGAGCTGGATGGGAGGTTGGCAGAGGGAGAGGCGGGAGCCGGGTATTTTGGGGACACTGTGGCTTGTGCTGTGGGGAAGACCAGAACCGATTCCAAAGCCTCAGAGAGAAAGCGGCGGGAGGGGGGCCCGGAGAGGCAGCCAGCAGCAGCCAGCAGAAGCAAAGGGGAGAATGTGGGCGGGAGGTGGGAGCCCGGAGCCAGAGCAGGCGCCGCCCCGAGGGGTCTCCAGAAGTGGCTGCCCAGCACGAGCTAAGATGTCAAACAGTGCTCTAGAGGAGTGTGCTTCCCCAGGGGAGCCCCGACTTGAGCTCAGGAATCACAGCCTTTCATACTTGAATTTTTTACTTTTGAAGGCCCTTAAAAGTGCTTTAGATGCCGTGGAAATGCGGCCACTTCATTCTGGAGTCCATGTCTGGACTATACTCTCCTCCGTGCCGGGCTCAGATCCAGGGTGTCACAGCTCGCTGTGTAGACATCTCCCTAGCAGTTCACAGTTGAAACTGAAGACAGGGCCCTCCCTGGTGGCCCAACGGGTCAAAGCGCAGCACTATGAAGCTGTCTGCAGCCGCTGCAGCGAGAGTTCGATCCCCGGCCAGGGAGCTGAACCAGCATGGCCAGCAGCCCTCTCCTGTCACCCCGCTGCTCCCCTCAGCAGTGTGTTTCAGTACATCTGCCTGTTCTGCTCCCCGCTCTATCTAGTGAATCCTCTCACCCCCAACACACACTTCTGGCCTGTACCCCAGTTCTTGTATGCACAAATAATCTTTTAAAAAAGGGTGAAACTATCCAGTATTTTTCTTTCTGGGGTATGTCACTCAGCATGATCCCCTCCAGCCCACCCATGTTGCCGCAAAAAGCATGAGTTTGTTTTTTTGGTTGCTGAGTAATATTCCATTGTGTGTATGGACCACATCTAGTTAATCCAGTCATCTACTTTTGGGCATTTGGGTTGATTCCTTGTCTTCTCTACTGTAATGGATTGGCGGGGGTTGGGGGGGGGGGAAGCAACTGTAATAAAAAACAAAACAAAACAAATAAAAAACAAAACACAAAACAACTATATACCAGACATTTTACAGGGGTGGAGGGGGGAATGGGATCACAAATAGGGTGGGAAAGGGCCTAGGGAAAGGGGTGGAGGGGGGAATGGGATCACAAATAGGGTGGGAATGGGATCACAAATAGGGTGATGGCACACGGCAAAGTGGTGGTGGGAAGTCCACGGGGACTGCACCTGAGATGGAAAAATGAACAAAATGAAGGATGATGTGAAAATAAATAAATAAACAGTGGGTTCTGCAAGAACTCTGCATATTGGCTCAGTTTCATGCAAACATCTGATAACTTAGAATGTAGGGTTCTCTAGGAATGTATCAAGCTGATTTCAGAAGACAGAAAACCTAAGCGCACTGGCTTCCAGGGAAGAAATGAGCTGGGTCAGGGGAGTCCCTCCGCGGAAGTCCAGAATGTTCTGAAGAAAGCCCACCAGGTCTCTGCCCCCAAAGGCAGAGCCATGAGGGAGCCCCAGGCAGCCTGCGCCCTAGGCAGGAGCAAGGGGTGTGGTGAGTGGCCTGCCGGCTCTCACAGCCAAGGGCCCTCCCCTCCCAGGCTGCTGGGCAACTCACTTTCTGCTCCTTCCTGAAGCCTCCCACACCTCCTCCCATCTCACTTGCCATGAAGATTGTTTCCTAATTTGTTAAGACTAAACCGTGGGAGAACCCAAGCCCACGCCTCATGGCAATGACATCTCTATCTCTACTTCCAAAGCAAAAACTTGGCATCTTCACGCTATTCCCTAATCCCTGTACAGGTTGCGAAATGTCAAGGCCTGAACTGTCAGGGAGGTTGGAATCAGGCACCCATGAATTTAAATGCATGTGTCACTTGGAATACTATGGTTCTGGAAAATGTTGAACATTCAACTTACTTAACAATGTGGAGGTAGCACAGTAGACAGAGCAGTTCTCCCGACTTCTGCCCAGGGAGTACCACCATCTGGCTGAGAGATGCTGCAACCCAAAGGTTTCCGTCTTAGGCCTAATGTGACTCTGGGCAATCTGTTTCCACACCTGACACGGGAGGTAGATGTGATTCTGTATTTTTATAGCTTTTTTTTTTAAAGTTATTTATGCACATGAGAACTGGGGTACAGACCAGAGGTGTGGGGGGTTGAGAGGGCCCACCAGAGTGGGGAGCAGAACAGGCAGATGTACTGAAACAACACTGCCAGGGGAGCAGCAGGCAAGACAAGAGTTCTGCTGCGCCCTGTGGGCCACTCCCTGGCCGGGGATGGGACTCGTGCTGCAGAGGCTGCAGACAGGTCCACAGCGCTGCGCCTCAGCCCACTGTGCCACCAGGGAGGGCCCTGGATGTGATTACAAAAGAGCTGCAAGGCGGGATCCCCTGGATGATGCAATCACACTGCATCCTGACTGTGCTGATGTCTTGGTTATATTATTTTACTCTCATTTTCACTATCATCATTGGGTCTCTGTACTAAAATCACTGAAGTCATTCTTACAAGTGACTACAATTATCTCGTAATAGGTTTAATATTAAATTTCATTTGCAAATGATTTGTTTTTACATTCATTTCAAAACTGTTCAAGGCGACGGAACCCTCTTTCTGAGTGAGACAAAGCCAGACCTTCATTTTAGCCATGACATAACCAGAAGGTGGCGCTATCACACCATGACTCTATTGGAGCGAGGCACCCCGCCTTCACTGTGGTGAAAATGACACGGAACCTCAACAACCAAAATCGTAAATGCTAACACTAATTCAGCAATGTTTCTAACACGTCAGAGTGAGGGTTTGAAAAAGCACACTTTCATATTTAAAGATGATATGCAAATCATCAAAATTTTGGATCTCTGACACATAGTTTACAAATAGAAAATACAAACCCGTCTGATAAATGCATCTTTCAACACATCCCACTTGGCCTGTCAGGTTCTCCCAAAGACGAGGGAAATTCACAGCACATGGTATTAAGTGGTTATATCACTGTATTTTTGCTATACATATCTCCTGTTCAGCCATTAACAAAAATATTGATAAAGGCACAGCTAACGTAAATACATGAGAAAATTCCTGTAGCTGGAAGTAAAAGTTCTGAAAGGGACCAGCCGCACTGCTTAAAAGCAACAAACAAAACTTACAAATGTTTATTTGGGGTTTCTTGAAAATAAAAATACTTCTGAGAGAAAGAAAATTTAATTGAACCAGCTAGTAAAATTACCAAGAAAGACAGCCCTTACCCAATACTGTTACTTTACAGAAGGACTAAGGGGAGGTCCAGAAAACTTAAACTTGACCCAAGTCAGACATCAGAGCAAGCCCAGAGTTTGGGCCTCGTAACTTCAGACAGACAGCGCATAGGAACCGAGAAATGATGGCAGAAACTCCTTGCACAAAAGGGGCTATTTCTGTGCACTGTGGGTCTGACTTTCATAGTCAAATTGGGGGGGGAGGGAGTCTTCTTTATAAGTATCACTCACCAACATAGCCATTTATTTAGGGGAACAGAAACACCCACAAGACCAAAGACTCCAGGGAAGTTGAGGAGTTTGAGACCCAATGGGGAAGAGAGATGCCGAGGGTGAGGGTGGACCCCTCAGTCTTGAGGACAGTCTTGGCCAAAGTACAGGTCTGTTGCTCAGGTTCTCGGTGCCCTGCGTGGTGTGAGGAGACATGGGCTATTCTTGCAATGGCACTTTTGATAAGAAAATCTCAACACGTCTTTGAAAAATAGACACAGGCCCAATGAAGAAAAGAAAACCTCACTTGCTGAACCCACAAAGGTCTTGGAAGAGAGCTTTTCCCAGGGAGTACTAATACCAAATAGCCCCGTCTAACAGTGAACATACTACTTGTGGGTGTGCAAGAACCAGCCTAATTGGAAACCAAAGGAAGCCTGACACGTGGGACACACTGCCAAGCCTCAGCGCCTGCATTCTGGGGCAGACCCATCCCAACTGGGAGCAGCGGCTGAGGATGCACAGGGGCGTCAGGGGAGGCCAGAGGGCCTCGGAGACTTTTAAAGTCACTGATGGCTTCTCTGTCCGAGAGCACATTCCAGTTTCAAAATGCTTTTGTTTCCGTCAGCAGGGACATATTCTCCTCTAGAGTGCAAAGTGGTCATGTTCTGGGTCACCTGGCCTCACTCACCCCAGAGGTCTCATCGCTGCACCCCAGGGCACTGTGCTCACGGGCTCTGCCCACCACAGCTCGGGACCAACGTGGGAAGCTCCTGACACTGGACGGTGTGTTGGTGGGGGGGCGGCGGGGTGGTGGGCTGAGCGGAGAGCAGGAGCAGGTCGCCTGGGGATGGGCCCCTTGCTGCCCTGCAACCCTGCCTGCCGCCCACCTGGTCTAGCCAGCACCAAGCACTCAACATACTCCATTTGGCTTTTGAAAATCTGTTTTCTAAGGAAGCAAAACCAGTGACGTCTTTTCCCCAAAAAGTCTGCTCTTCCCTTGGGTCCCCCCAACCTGGTTTCCTTGGGCTTCCCGGTCACCAGGTGGCCTGCTGTGCATAGATTCGAGTCAATTAACCAAATGCATTCTGGCCTTGCCCTCGGTTCACAAAACAGTTGACCCAACCAGGAGAGAAATGAGTTAGAATTAATTCTGGAGCAGTTTATTCTCAAGTCATTACAGTGTTCAACCAGTTTGACATACAAAGGCAACACGTTTGTAAAAGAAGCCTCTCGGAATCACGCGCCCCCCCCCACCTCAGAGGTGTGCTACGCGCACAGGGACAAAACGCAGCAGGTATCAAGGTGTTCAAAGTGAAATTCTGACAGTTCAGATGTAACGTATTTACAAGAAAAGTCTAAGCTTTAAAACAATTAAATAATTTTCATAGAATTATAAAAGTACTGAGATAAATACTAGCAGACCCGGACAGTCACAGGGTGTTTTCCAAGGCTAGTGAACCAGGGAGTTCTATAAAAAGTCCCAAAATAGAGCTCATTATTTCGCCACCGTTAAGTATATCAAATTACCCATACCAAAATGTACGAAAATGAACATGCAATGTGGAAACTGCACCCCAGGAGACAGGCTCCGGCTCCTGAGTGCCCCAGGTCGCCCAAGGGCGACTTCAGAAGGGCCGATGTAGCGGACACGTCAGCACACAAGCGGTAACTACTTAAACCCTTGCATCCTACCATCTGCAAATGTAGCTGCAGAAAAGAAAAAAAAAAACTAAATGTTTTTAAAATATTAGCTTATAATGAAAAGTTGAGCGGTGCATTCTTGATGCACTTGGGATCTGACGGGAGCTGTGTGGCCAGCGTGGCGGAGGGTGACCTCGGCGCCCGGCCCCAGCAGCACAAGACTCTTTTCAGACCAGAAGTCATCTTAGAAAGAGAGCTGGAGACACGGTGATGTGTACGAGTTCAAACAAATGGACTATAAAATGGCAAAATATAAAAATAGCAGCATGTGAAATCCAAGACTATTAAAGCGAATGTTCAAGGTCGAACTACAAAAAACAGTTCTTGCTCAAACTGGTCTGCGAATCGCCCCCTGAAACCAGGACGCTTTCTCAGAGGGGCCTGCGTTACCACAGCCCCGTGTCCGATGTGCCCTCAAATTTGTGTCTGCAGACAAATATATTGCACAGGTAGTAGAATACCAGCGTTCTGGCACTTGACATAAACGGTAGCTCATTTAGCGCATCAAACTAAGTAAGCTACTGAAAATTAACTTTATCCCAATGTTTAAAACCCATCCTGCAGGACTGCTGAGCACATTCACCTCAAAACTTTCCTCAGCGCGATAAAAGCAGCACAGGCACTTGAATAGAGTTTAGCAGTGACACAAAGGAGAGGCCACCGTTGAAAACGACTGAGGGCAAGATGTCTGTACATACAAACTTAGGGTCCTTACTGACAAGTATAGAGGGAAGACCCACTGACAAAATTTGGTAAGGAAATCATCACCCCAAAACCTCACGCGAAATGCTGTTCACTGAAGAAAGCAAAGACCGCCGCAGATCCCAACTGAGCTTTTCCACACACACGTCCCAGAGGCAGCTCCTGGAACCCTACGGCTCCCCTCTCCTCAAGCCCGGGACGGCCGCACGGTTCCCAGCGGTCGCCGGCCAGCACCCACCCCGACCTGGCCGAGTCTTGCAGCACCGCAGCCCGCGTGGCCGGGCGCCGCCACCCCAGTCTGGCGGTGGTCCAGGCAGCGACACTAACCGGAGAGGTGGGGAAACACCAAACACCTGCCGGAAGTCAGCGGAACGATGACCCGCGTCACTAGAAGCGTGTTTCATGTTACGGTGTGGAGACACTGCCACTGCCAGATTCACTATGAAAGAGCATCACATTGTCGGCACCCACATGAGAACACACAAACTTAAGACAGTCGATACAGAGACACTTTTTTTTCCCTTTCTTTCGCTTTTTTAAAGAAATTATATTTAATTTGGCCACTCCCTAATTCTTGGGTTACCGGCTTCCAGAGTCCACCTAAGAGGCGTCTTTGGCTAGAGTCTCGCGGGAGACGGGGCTGCGGCGGGCGCGGCCCGCGCCGCCAGCTCACACGTCGCTGACCGGGAGGCTGGCGTCGTCCAGGTCCAGCGGGCCACAGTCTTTTTCCTGAGGGCCATTTTTACTTTGAGGTCTGAGCAGAGCTTGCTCAGTCACTTTGGAAGCTGGTTCTCTTGGAGAGACAGTCTGGACCTTGAAGTTCCCTGACTTGACCTTGGCAAGAGACTCGTAAAATCCTCGCTTCTCCACGGCAAAGCCTGAGACCAGAGAGTTGCTGCGAGCGGCTGTGGCGGCCCCGGGGGGGCGGAGCGCGAGCCTGGCGCCGGCGGGGCCGGGAGGATGCTCCTGTGGAGAGACAGCGGGCAGGCGCGGTCAGTCAGCCGGGTCGGGTTAGGGGCTCAGCGTGAGACTGACTCTCTGAAAAACAAAGGAGCACAGCAGCACACGCACACAGCAGAAGCCGAGCCATGCAGCCGAGGGCGCACGTTCCTCCCCAAGCAAGGCGTCGCCGGGGCGCAGGAAGCGGGGCGCCAGCGCCGTGTCCCCCAGAAGCGCGGCCGTCACCAAAGCCGAACTGGCAGCTCCTGGCGCTGTGGGGACTCGGCCGGCCTCGCTGGCCGGGGCTTGCGTGTTTAAAGGGGAGCCGCCAGCCCGTCGTTTACTTAAGAGCATATTCTCGGTCCACTCTAGCAGTTATTGCAGATTATAAAAAGATAAAAAATGAAAATGCAGGCTATGATCAGTGAAAGGCTGTAGCAGAACCCACATTTTTCAGAGCTGAGTCTGGCCGGGCAGCCTGGCCAGCTGAGTTCTCGCGTCCCTGAACTTCACTGTAACCAAGGGCACGTACTAGCCGTGGTATGTCCCACATGCAGACGGCCTGGAGTCTGAAAAGCAGCACCGCTACGTGCTTACAACCCCTCAAGCGGCGAGGTGGCTCAGCGGCGAGTACTGCTCGCAGCGCTTCTAAGTGAATCAAAACTGAGGAGACCCGGGAACAGGGCCACCGGGGGACCCTCTCACTCCAGGCACACGCCTGTGACACTGGGAGACAGGCGCTGGGCCCCCTAGGCTGCGGGGCTCACCCCACACGTTCGCGCCCAGGTCCGCACACACGACTAGAACGGGTGCGCTGCTGCGAGACGCAGCCTACAAGACACCAAACAGACACTGGAACGTGCAGCAATGCAGCCAGTGAATTTCTAGATGATCGGGCGATGTGACTTTCTCATCGAGCAGATGTTCGTTTTCATTATTTATCTTTTCCTTTCTTTAACACACGAACAACCTGACGGCTAGAGTGACATAGTTGGCGTTAGTGTTGACGAAGTCAGTTACAGTCACTGCGAAAGGCAGCTCGTTAACTCAACTTTCTAGGCCCGGTGCGGAGTGAGCGAGGCGGGCCTAGGAGGAAGGCACGTGTGCGTGAGAGCCCACATACGTGCCGCGGTCCCCAGCGCTCGGTGTATACCTCTGTATACAAGGGTTCGACAGCCTTCTGGCCTGCCGCATCTGCAACACAGTGAAAGCTAAGATTAGCGTTCACCTGGACCGGGGAGAGGGAGGAAGAGAGCGTCTGCTGGCAGTCCCAGCTGAGAGTCCCACCTGCCCCACCACAAAGCACCAAACACAAACGCCCTGCTCCAGCTTCTCCTCTTCCCAACAGACAACGTTTTTGCAGAGAGTCTCAGACTTGACTGCTGAAAAGTCACATAAAACACAGGCAGTTAAAGTTGACACCTATGAAAGTGACGTCTGGGATGTTCCGAAATGGCTCTGAGGAGAGTGCCTCGACCGAGAGGGAGGGAGCGGCCGCGCTGACCAGCACGCCAGGCATCCCTGGCGGGCAGGCCCTGAGAGAGAGGACCTCACGCAGGGGCCTGGCTTCCCAGGCCATCGTCCCACACTCCAGTGGGCGCTCTGCAGCCACAGTGCCCCATCTCGACACACCTGACCTTTCATTCCTCAATAGAGCTATATTTTCAGGCAGAGGCCACAGAGAAGGGATTCGAATGCCAAATCCTATTTCTATGCTTTGGACGTGATAAGATGAAAAACGCTGCTCTTATGATTTCTGAGGACGGTTAGCTGTTTCAAATTTACTACACCACCGAAAAGAAAATTACAACGGTGGTAAGGTAAGAAGCAACATTTTAAATTAACCTCTGAGAAAACGAGAATGAAAATTCTCAGAGCACTCAACTGCCTTTAAAGTGCTCAGCGGTCTCACAGCACTTACGAAGCCAGAAGACCCTAAGTGAAACCGGAGGAAGCGGTCATCGAGATGCTCACCAAACTGTAGTGTTACCGCAAAAGGTACCTGGAGTGGTTAGCCACACCCCGCATTAGGAACTGTCAGGTAACACTAAAGGTGGGGCACTGACAAGGGAGACCCCGAGACAAAGCAAGGGAACGTTCATTCTTTAGCTGCCCTGCTTGTGCATTTAAGACAATACGATGCATGGGAAGTCATGTCCACAGAACACTACAGGGAAGCGTTACATTAGGAATGCGGGTTTTTTTTTGCAAGTCCAATTGGTATAAAAGTCAACATGCAAATAAATCTCAAGAGAGACGGGAACCAGAGGATTCGAGGGAGAGGTGGGGACAGAGCTGGCCAGGATGGGGGGACCAAGGGAGCATCACCCCAGAGAACAGGAGACATACAGAAGACGCCGATCTGCCAGGCCCGCGCTGAGCCACGATGGCGCCCGAGACGGCTTTGATCCAGCTGTGCATCTCCTCGGGGCTGTCGGCCTGCGGAGAGAGGCCCGGTCACCCCCGCCTCAGAGCCGCCGCCCGCCTCTACCGCTCCGCTCCACGGCAGTGCCCGCCACACCGTCACCCAACGCAGTGGTGTCCAAAGAGCTTAGAGATTGCTTCCTTAGAGCTAGGTTTTGCCAGGCAAGTCATTACAGCGAGCGCAAAGGTGGCACTACCCATTTTAAGGCCAGACACATTAAAAGCTGTAAACACGAGTTCTTGTAAGGAAGAGGAAGAATGACCTTCTCGTCTATCAGACCTACTGCTACACTGTCTGAACCTGACAGGGGTCCCGATGTCACTGTGTCGTTCAAAAACCATGTTGACATCATTCACATTTTGGTTTTTTAGCATATTTTCTTGTTATTTTCATATTTCTAGATACTAGAAACAATTTCTAGTAGGACCCTAAATCCTAAAAGATGTATTGGCTAGTCACAGCCCAAAAACTCCTTGATGGGTCTTGGCTTCTGACAAAATCAAAAGCCTTACTAATCTTCTTGGTTTTTTCCCTCTTGTTCAAAAAAACCCCAGAAGTAAAAAACTTTACTATGGCTTTAATTCAACTTAACAGGAGCCGAAGAGGGAGGGGTGGGGAGAAAACACCCTTTACTTCTAGAATCTAGAAGTTCAAAAATGTGAAGCTACAGAAGAGTTTCTTTGAACCAATAATATTAGTTTTTAGAAGGAACAGTGCAAAGCAAGTGAAGGTCAAAAAGGACACTTTCCTTCACTGCAAACAGGAGCGCCTCATCAAAGTTCGTGCTCGGAGGTTCACATCTACAAACTCATCAAGAAAAAGTAAAAAATGCAGGCAAATTTACATACAAAAATGTCCCTGGCCACAGTGTCACAGTAAATGTACAGGAATTATGTACATGAAAGAAAAGGAGCAGCAGAGGCCAGCTGAGTCAGGGAGAATTCCCACAGCAGAATACAGTGCGGTTCCAGAAAGTTTTCAGAGCTTAGTAATGTCGGGGGAAAATCTATACTATATTAAGCTAACACATAGAACACATACATGAACCCACTTGTTATAAAACTTACCCTTTTAAGAAAGACAGTAAAAAAATCAAAATGGATGTGGGAGTCTGTTTTTAAAACTACTCATTTCTTGTTTTTCTAGATTTTCCATATTTTCTGCATATGTAGTTTTCATAAAATAAAAAACTGTTCTTTTTAAAATCTTCCAATCTAGGTAATTCAATGTGACAGGAGTATATTTTTAACTTAAATACAGATGCTTGTCTACCATTTGTGAAGCTATGTTAAGAGCTGTCTATTTTTATTAAGGGTATTTGAGGGAACCCCCCCTTTTTGAAAAAATTACCCCCAAAATGATGTAATTGAAATTCCAAAATATGTGTAAAAATAATGAACTTTAAGGTACATACATTATTAAGCAGGATTTCCCTTCTTCTAAATACTACTTAATTCAATTTGACTAATTTATAGCATAAATAGCCTTATTTGCTAAATATATGACCAGTAATCTGAAATATAACATTTTTTGTTGGGTTGGTGAATTTTAGTTGCCATATATTTTGCTTGTTCTCATAAGCAGCAAGTGCATATTTATTTCACCCTAAACATTACTAATGTCTTGTTAGGAGGCTCTATAATCTCCTAAAAAGCATCTTACCTGCACATAAAAAGTTCGAGACGATGTTACAATCTCAAAAAGGTTGTCCCTCATCATTATGTCACTGTTAACAAAAAAAGATTTTTCCAATTGTATTTAAATGACAGTTATTTGATAGGTTTTTTTTTTTTACTTATTTACCTAACACCAGTATGTCAGAAAGGAAATAAGCATTAGAGGTAAACAGTTAAATACCTTTTTTGGAAAATGTTCACCAAGCAACTTTAAAGTTCAAGCTTGTCAGCTATCATCAGTTCGCTCAAAGAAATGCTGAAACAGCCAACATATTTACTAGAGAAACCTCAAAAACTAAAACTACTAACACACCCAGTTGCCAACCGTGTTGGAATAAGTGGTTCATAATAAATATCCCTTTCCATTAATAAGGATTAGGGGTTTCTCTACATTTTAGTTTTCAAATGAAACAACTCAATACTTCAACCGGAGAGTTTCGGAAGTTCGAGCATATCCACACTATAAATGGGTAAAAGGAACACCAGGAGGAATCCAAGGAAAAGCCTGCAGCACACCCATCAAATCAAGCATCGCTGTGTGGCGTGAAGCGGTCCAAAGCTCACGCCAGGCCAGGACGCACCTCTGCTTACATTCCTGGACTCTGTGGACCTCTTTAAGTGGTATTACACGGAGAGGTTCCTTTTCCTGCAAGAAAGCAAGCAGATACATGAGGCTATATTCTTAAAATCTTCGGAAAGGTTAGCTGTCTTGTTTTGACATTTATATGAACATGATGTTTCTTCCTTGAAGCACATGTAAGACATAATCCTAACTTCTGGAATGAACCAGCATCAGAACTGCTGAGATACTACCACCTAGATAAACGATGGTTTGAAACAAACAAACAGGCTTCTAACCGGCATCTATCCCACTATTTCCGGCCTTAATGCAGGGGAGTTGACTAAAAGACATTAGCCACGATGTCCCCTTGATGGGCCTCTCTGCCTGGCAAGCGGACAACTCCTCTTTGGAAATACTATTTTGACTCAAGGCACAAGGGCAGTGAATACTCACATTCTTTGAGCTAAATGTGTCATCATTTTAAGACCATTACTTTTATGTAAATACATTATTTTAACAAATTCAAATTACTGAACATTTACTAAGTGCCAAGACATGGCTAGGTTTTAAATGTGTTATTTCCAACTTTCCCCAACTCACCACCGACCGTTCATCTGGTGTTAAATACCGTATCAAAGGTCTCTAAACTAGGTCTCAGATTCAAGTAAGTACTTCCTATTAACATTTACATACTACATGAATTTCACTGAATTTGACACCATAAAATATACCACAATTTCCTGCAGCATTAAGAGAACAATTAAAACATGGATAACTATTTTTAAAACATTTTCAAATTTTTTTTTAATATTTATTTATTCATACAGAGCTGGGGTACAGGCCAGAGGCTCAGGGGTGGCGAGAGGCTTCACTAGAGACAGAGTAGGGAGCAGAACAGGCAGGTCGACGAAGTCCACTGCTGAGGGGAGCAGCGGGCAGGTTAGGAGAGGTCTGCCTGCCATGTGGTCACCTCCGGGGCAGGCGGGAATCGAACTCATGTGGAAGTGGCTTCAGCTTCCAGTGCTGTGCTTTAACCCTGGTGCTGCGCCACCAGGGAGGGCCACATTTTCAACTTTTTAAAAGCTACAAATATTTAAAGCATTACAGTTCATTTTAAAATAATCTCAGACTCTTAAGACATACAAAATTACTACAAATTTCTGTAGTATCTATACTCTTGCACCGTTTTCTCAATGTTAAAATTGTATGTTTGCTAAATTATATAAATATATGAATACAGTGCATGGCTTTATTGTAATGTGTGAAGGCAAACTGTCGCTATAATGCAACTTACTATCAAATGCTTTCACTGACACCGCCTAGAAGTCTCTTTTACGCCAACAGTAAATTCATACAATTACGAGAACGGAAACACCACAGATGAGGCACTATTATCTAATCCAGACTAGGTTCAGATCTCACTCACTGCCTCAGCATCATCCTTTACACTTCACAGGGTTCAATCTGGGACCACACCTGGTATTAGCTGTCATGCCTCCTTTACTGTAGAAAGCTCCCGTCTTTCTCTTTTATGGCCTTAGTTTTAGTGCTGAAGCCAGTTACTGCAGAGAATGTCCCTTACTTTGAGTTCACATGACTGAGTCGTGCTTAGATTCAGCCTGAACGGCTCTGGCAGGAAACCACAGGTGCGAGGCTGTGTTCTCAGCACACTGTTCTCAGAGGCCCATGGCCGTGGTTTTCCCACTGCTACCGTGCTAACCCTGGCCTCCGCTGTTTGCCAGTAGCTGTCAAGTTAGCTTTCCCCTTGGCCATGACTATCTTGTGGGGACCAGGTCGGCACCCAGCCACTTTCCCACCACGGCTTGCCCACTTGTTTTATGAACACTGACAATTTTTGCCTGAAACCATCCTTTCCACACAGTTGCCAAAAGGCAGTTTTTCTAGCCCCATCAGTTCATCTACCTGCGAAGCTGGAATTATACTGTAAGCAAATGTTTTTCTTTCTCCACTTCTTTACTCATGAGTTGCTCTATGTTATGGGTTATAACTCATTATTGCCACGACTCGTCATTCAAACTGCCTGAAGATTGGGCTCTGAGAGCCTTTCAGCCGCCATCCAGAGTCTCCGAGCCTGTCCCAGCATCCTCTGCGCTACTTCCTGTTAACTCTCACAACTGCCAGGTCTGGGCTCAGCCCGTCCTTTCTCTGTCCCACTGCTGTGAGGATCGCTGGCTCCTTCTGTCAGAGAATGGAGAGTTGTTCTGGGGGGAATGGGTTTGCCCACTCTTCAATGTGCTACAGCTTTTTCTTATGACAGGGAAGAACTTCAGCTTCTCTACTTTTGCGACTGACACAAGCTATGCACCTCTATCAACTGACATATTCCAGATAGAGATGGAAGTGCTCTGAGAAATCAGACTAATCCACGCTAACTTATGTTATGATCTCCCTTTTTTGTATAATCGTAATATCAAAATATTCTGAGCAACCTTCAGCTTACAATTGGACTGCTTCAGCCTCATAAGGCGCTGCCTGGCCCCGACAAGCACGGCACCAGCGTGAGAAATTCCTATTGAAGTCAAAAGTGATTGGACAACTGGCTGATTAATAAAAGCAAATGGCTGTTACTGCAAAGTCTCTCTCACTGCCAGATGGAGGAAAACCCAAACCTTATCACTCTACTATCTCAGTCTTCTATTCAGTTTCCAAAGAATCACTCAAACTTTCTACTATCTAGCCTTTAGATATGGAAATTCACCCAAGTGCCTATTCAGAGTTAATCAGGTTTTCTACCATCTAGACTTCAAGAAAACTCACTTAAGCTTTCTCACAAGTTTTTCAAAGAACCTGAGGTAACTTGACTTACAAGAAATTTCCCCTTCCTGCCTTTGCTTTCCTTTACCCCCTAAGGTGTCTCAATGAGAATAAAAACCATTAAGTGGTAGATAAGGTCTAAGGGACTTTATTGTGGTTAATCTTCACTGTGGTAAAGACAGTAATATTAGTCTTAAACTTTGTGAATCTCTGTACCAGTTTTAACCTTGATAAATTGATTTTTAAAATAATGTTATAATCTCAACTAAAGGTCAAAATGACCCCAGACTATTCTTTAAAAAAAAAAGGTGATCGTGATCTCAGCCCATTTCATTCATCCCTCTGCCTGCTTGAACCCTATAAAATAAACCTCTGCTGAGACCAGAGCAGGAAGACTTGCACCCAACTCCGATCCCCATGTCTTCCTTGTGCCCGGTCCCCTTTTTTTACCCCTTTCTCCCCTTTTCGAGGAATCTCTGCTGGCTGATGCCGCTCCCACCTTGAGACCCTGCCTATTCTCCTGTTCTGCCCCCCAATAATCCGTAATCGGGGATAGAGTCTCTGACATGTGATGTCAAGTGTCTTTTTAAGGACCATTTTAATTTCCTTGTAAATTAATTCATATGAATATCTTTTGCTCATTTTCCTACCCAATATTCCTCCCTCAGTATTTCTGTGTCTAAATTCTGAAGCTATCACACAAAGGTTGAAAACACAGGATCAAGAACTGGTTTTCCTAAACCACTTTAAGAACGAGTTGCTCACCTGGTTATCTCAGTACTCTTCCTACAAAGACCCCCCTCTCATCACAACACAACCACTAAAAACAACACTGTCCCCCAACATCTGTTATTAAAGCAAAGTTTCAGTTCAGAACCACAGGCTGCATGGCTGCACTGATGTCCTTCAGCTGGTGTCTTGCTCCTGTCACCTCCCTCCAGGGAAGGCTACAGGCAGCTACTCTGCAGACCACCCCTCATCAGGTATGCTTGTCCCCTCGGCCGGTTCAGGTCACACACGCTGGGGGAGACCTGGGCGACGGCGCTGCTCTTCAGCCATCCTGTCAGGTGGCAAAAGGCTAGAATCCAGCTCGTGGTTGATGAAGTGCAAACACATGTTCTCCCTTTGCACTGTGTGATCTGTAGACAGGTGACCTGAAACTAAGGGCTCTTGTTCTTCGTCACACATAGATTTACTCATTCACTCCAATCATTCGTCCATGCCTGTACGAGCTCATGGATTTCTATTTTATTCAGTGGGCAATAATTTGTTGCCATCATTACTTATTTCAATGTTCAAATTATCTCAATTTTGATGAGGGGGAACATTTTCAAGTCTCAACACTGTGAGGCTATCGGCAGCCACCGCAGCCCTGGTCCCTGGCCAGGGGCTGACCCACATGGAGTGCATCCTGCACAGCGCTCAGGTCACTGGACACGTGGAAGAGGAAATATTCAATCTTTTGAGTCTACCTCCAGATAAGACAAAAAAGTCAAGACAAAAGTCACCTGAAGTAGGATAAGAAAATGTCAAGGGCAGACAGAGGTGAGAAGGCAGAAGAGGGTTCAATGCTGACTTTAGAGACTGTATTCTGCACTCTCCTTCCTCTTAGAGGAGACTTGCAGACTGAAAAGTTCTAATATTTTTAATTGGCTCAAGGTGGAATGTCTTTGAAAATGGGGTTATTTTATTCAGGATGCAGTAAATGAAAATACTGTTAACCAAAAATATCACAACAAAATAAATGGCATTTTATGCACCGCTCAAAACCAGAATTTCATGATTTTTAAAGCAGAGAACAGGACAAAATTCCATGTATACGATCCCAGCCAGTGTGACAGTTCTCCAACATTTTTAAGCAACATTTATGACACGGTAACATACCAGTTCAGATTTGAAGTAGCCTATTGTATTCTCATCCAATTGAAAATATCTTCTCTTCCAGTTTTTCATCTGGCAGAGATGAATGAACACAGACATTAAGACTTCTGTTTCTAAGGTCAAATGTTAATAACCACCCACAATCAGAAATGTCAAGCACTAAGCAACCTTACTACCCTCCCATCGTGAAGCAATAAATGAAACTTCTTCTCTTTTGTTACTCAAGTCATGAACTCCCAATTTGACTTTGGTGTTTGGCTTTTAGCTTGGACTTTATAATATTCTTTCATTTTTTCATGTTCTAAAAGTTACCAAAAACAGAAAGCATCCCCATCCTCCTCAACCACCAGCTGTACCAAGGTAAGTGCCATTCAGAGCAGGCCCAAGAACTGTTACGAACAGTGTGGCTTCTTTGTTGGTAAGATGCATGATACCTCCTACAGGTATTTTTACTTCATTAGTAAAAAAATATTTAATAAAGTGAACCTACTCTGTAAAGATAGTTTTTGTCAATGAAAGGTAGTTTTGTGAAAGCCTGGACTTAAGAGGGAGGCAGAAAGGTGAGAGAGTCAGCCTGAGAACTCCGGCTCTGCGGACAGATTGCTAGTCAAAACCCTCACCTCCTCCCCTCAGCCTGGAACTGTCAAGTAACCAGTGATGGAAGGTCTTTCCCTGAGCTGATCTAACCTCAGAAGAACTGCTAGAAAGAGCTATGAGATCAAACACTACCGCTGGCAGAGTTTAAATACTTTAGTCATTGAAAGTATTTTTAACATTTCTTTTTTCTCATGAAATTCTAAAGATTTAGTTCACATGATCAAATTTTTAGAAAGGGGCTTTGGAACTTCAGAAACACTGATAAATGTACCTGCTATTCCCACAGCCCCTGTCACTGCTCTGGTAGAGTGGGGACGCTCGGGGAGCCCACCACAGCTCCCAGGAGGGACCAGGAGCTTTCTACTTTACACCCTCCAGGAAAGCCCCAGCTGGGCAACATGATCTTCCACAAAAGAAGCTGAGTGCCTGGGCGGTCAAGCAGGCTGAGGTCCCAGAGCTTCCAGCTCAGGTCAGCCAGCCCCAAATCAAGAGGGACCTTCCAATGACTCCCCGCTACACACTGGGGCTCTCTTTCCTTGACCCGCTCCCAGGACAAGAAAACTCAACAGAAAGACTTTCTGGAATACATTTAAACAGCCAGGAGGAATCATTTAAAACGGAATGTCGGCAGCAACAAGCATTAACCTTACACAACAGAGAAAATACAGCACTGAGTTAAGAACACACTCACCCCCTCTGGCGCCAACCCCCACCCCAGCACGCTGGCCTCACACTTCGTGCACGTCGATACACACTCGATGTTCATGATGCCACTCACCACAGCGCCTTGCTTCACGCAGTAGCCGGCCTTGATGACGGCGCTGTCCGGGGGCGGTGTGGGCGCGGAGTACGGGAGATGGCTCTGGGAGCGCTTCAAGTGGTTTCTGTCAATGCTTGCACCACACTCACTGACTTCTTCTTTCTAAGATGCAGCAAAATAAAGCAATTTGTTCTTGCTTGTTGAATTTCAAAGCACTTACATTAAGTGTTGCCATCCCAGTAATAAATCTCAGTCTATCTTGTTCAGGGAAAAGATTTTGAAGTGTCAAATTAATTTGAAATACTTATTCACACATTGCACGTTATTGATGAAACCAGATTCATGTTCCTCTAGTTCTGTAAAAGTCACCATGGCTTGGGGAGGGGGTGCTCTTTTCTGTTCTGAAGTTATTCTTCAGAGTCACAGGAAGGGGTGAACATACCTACAAAAGAGCAGGTTTCCCCCAGTGAGGACACAGTGCACTCTCCAAGGTAACACTGAAGCAGCCCCGTCCTCATGTGACCTCACTGGTCTGCATGTGCGCCTGCATCCTCACCACAGGCTCCCCGGGCCCCCCGTAAGGAGCTAGTCCCCACCCCGGGAGTCTGCTCCCCACTCTTATTGCAGAGTGGAGAAGACGGCGGGAATGGCCGCCGGAGGAGCTCTGCGAAGGGCCCGGCGCTCAGCACGGTTCTCTGGAGTCTCACGCGTCAACGGTGCAGGCCTCTTCTTGCCAAGCAGCGTTCGTGTTTGGTGGGGCACTCCCTGCTTAACCAGCGCCCCCACCCCGCTCTGCAAAGGGCACCTGAGTTGTTTACAGTGTTTGCAAAGCTGCTGTAACGGTCCGCATACAGGTGACAGGAGGGTAAGCCTGTCTCTGGGAGGACAGACACCTCGGGCCACATATGCTGGGCACGCAGTGAGGGCAAGATTACTTTCGGTACAAATAGCTGCCCTCCTATTTTTTATTTTGAGTTTTTGAAAAGATTTACTTGTTTGTTTCTGCATACAAGAGCCAGGGTCCAGGCTAGAGGTGCAAGGGTGAGAGGATTCACCAGGAAAAGAGTGGGGAACAGGTGGATCTACTGAAATGCTCTGCTGAGGGCAGACAGGTCTGCTGCACCCTGTGGGTCACTCCCTGCCCAGGGACTGAACTCAGGCCCCAGTGGGATAACACTGAGACTTGACCCCAGGCACGCCTGTCCACCTGCTTTTCAGAACGCCTGTACTATTTTGTGTCCTCACGCTATCAGCCTGTGTACAAGCAGCCCTTGAATCCCCCTGGCAGGTGTGCAGGACAGTCTCCTTGTGGCCTGACGACACGCCCTGCTGGCCAACAGCCGTTCTAGCGCTTCTATCAGCTTCTCTCTTTTCCTCTTGGTAAGCGCTCCGCTCATGGGGGTGACCACTGACTAGCTGGGCTGTTTTACTTGCTGGACAGTTTGATAGTTCTTTATAAATGCCTTTACTGAAAATGCAGCTTGCAAATAAATTCTCCTCGTGTGGAGCTTTTACCCTCCTAAACAGAGGCTGCCACAGAGCAAACACTTTATTTTAATAAACTCCAAGTTATCAATTTTCTTCCTTTATGTATTGTGCTCTTGATGCCAAATCCTGAAACTCTTTGCCTATTTCTCCTTTGCGCTTTCCAAAATTTTCCAAAAATTTTTGTAGTTTTACTTTTTTCCATACATCAACCCAGGACTTTTTTTTTTTAAAGCTAACTACACTCAGGTTGTTATACTCCCTCAAAGCATATACAACAGGTGTGTTCACCTAGAACCCACATCTCCATGAAAGGTGTGGTTTCAGAAACCCCTAAATTTCAAGAGAAATGCTAAGTATTCAAAATATATTTGAGGAATTTTCAAAACAAGTAAGGTTTGTGCAAAGTTCTAATATCAATTTTGATAATGCACTATCATTTCACAGTCTACATGTATAGTCAACAGCACTAAATTATGTACTTAATTTTGCAATCCCACCAATTAACTTACTTCTAACCCAACAGTTACTGAATAAATTAGTTACGTAAATGAGATTTTGATATTTCTCGATAATCTACTCTCTAAATCCTCCCAGAATGCATAAATACTACCTTACAATCAAAAAGCAATGCAAAATGATAAAGCAGTAACATGCATAGAATCTTTTTAATGTGGCACCTGCCAAAGACCTCAGAACTTACTGAACTGCCTATACCAAAACGAAAAGACAACTAAGCCAAATTCTATTCAAAATTAAAAGTCACAGGCTACGTCAATACTTTACTGCCGTCATACAACTGCGGCCACAGACGCAACACAGCTGTAAGTAGGCTAGTCCAGTTACCACTTGCTAGAGACTTTACATGCGGAAAGCATGGCTTCCAGAAGAGGAAATGCGTGTGCACGCACGCACACTCACACACAAAATCCTAGCTTACTTTCTATCCAATTTTGTGAGAAACGTAAGCTCTTGTTAGAACACAGATTTTTTTCATTAATATATACTTTGGCTAGCACAAAGGAAGCATTAACTAATTAACTGATATGTAAGAATCCTATTCCCACTAATCACTCTCCCTTTACAAACGACCAAAGATGTGGTCCATAAAGTAACTTGAGTTTAAAAAGGTTTGTAACGTGCCAAAACAGTTAAGTCTGAAGACAAGGAATAAATACACTCAACACTAGCAAACTGACTAACCACTTTATCATTCTTGGCTTTTCAACCTGCTAGTAATTTAATTTACATCACAAGTTCTTATTTTTTATAAAATCCAGTAAAATTTAACTTAGAATGTGAGTACTGTCGGGAGGGAACTGAGTCAGAATTTAGCTCTCTGTTTGGCTTATGTAGGCCAGATTGCCAGAAAACAGGGTTTAAAAATTATATATATTGGGACCTCCCTGGTGGCACAGCGGGTTAAAGCACTGCACTGAGAATCTAAAGCTGCTTCCGCATGAGTTCAATTCCCGCCTGCCCCGGAGGAGACCACATGGCGAGGCAGACCTCTCCTGACCCGCCCGCTGCTCCCCTCAGCAGTGTACTTCGTCGATCTGCCTGTTCTGCTCCCCACTCTGCCTCTGGTGAAGCCTCTCACCGCCCCTGAACCTCTGGCCTGTACCCCAGTTCTGTATGTACAAATAAATAAATCTTAAAAAAAAAAAAAATTATATATATTTGTAAAAAAAAAAATTTATATTTGTAAACTCTGACTCAGCAATTGTATTTCTAGGAGTTTTACCCTTTACAACTCACTCTCTCTTGTCTGTAAACACAGCGCATGACCCTGGCTCGGAGCTCCTCAGCCCCTCAGATGCTGAAGTGCGGAGGAGAGCATGGGGAGGGCCTCCTGCCGTAGTGCGCGGGGCCCAGGTTCCTGACAGGGGTCTGGTCACCAGGGACATGTCCCAGCAGGAAATGTGGCAGTTCAGACCCACCCTCCTTCTCCAGGGAGCATGCAAGGGCTAGAGTCAGAGGTAAGGATTAATCGTGCCTACAGGTGAAGTCTCCATGAAATTCCCACAAACTGTTCAGGGAACTTCCGGGGGGCCACATGCAGGTGATAGGGGCGTGTCAGCACGGTGTGAGACTCCCAGCCCCCAAGCCTTGCCTCACACACCGCCGTTATCTGGATGCACTTCTGTACCCTTTATCTGATAAGCCCCGAGCTGACTACTTTCCTGAGTTCTGTGAGCTCTTCTAGCAAAGGAGCCGGACCCAGGCCATGAGGGCCCCGGAGCACAGCCCACAGGGCAGGCGCATGGCAACAATCTGGACTCACAGGCGGCAGGTGAAGCGGGGCGGCAGAGGGGAGGCCCCCCGGGCCAATACAGAGCCATATTGAACTGCAGGACCCCCAGTGGACGCTGCGGAATCGCTGCGTGTGGTGCAAGCCCACGTCTGGCCGCATCCGTGCTAGACAGCAGCAGCGTGACCACCACAGAGAAGGCCGCAGGAGGGAGCCTGGGCCTTTCCTACTCACACAGATTGTTAAACAAAGAAGATAAAGTGAGAAAAGAACCTGCCCTACAACAGAGCTCTCGTGAATGGCAGAGACGGTCAGAGTCTGTAAACATAATCTACACTGACTTTCAATGACTGGGAAAATACTGAGCTCTCGGCGAAGAACGTTCTTTACCAAGCACCTCCACTTTTGGGGGGCAAAAGAGCACGAGACAACTGAGATGGAATAAGGCACAAAATGATGTAAAAATAAACCATTATATTATTTTTTTAAAGTGCACAAAAGGCTCAGAGAAGCCACGAGAAGGGTAAGTGTTCATCTGTGATTTCTTAACTTCTGTTATGGCAAAGCCAGACTTGTGAAGAGACAAGCTATTCCACCTGCTAGCCCTGTGGTCGACTGCGCTCAGCGTGTGCATCCACCGTGCACGAGGCGTGAGTCTGTCTGTTTTATGGTACCGAGCACATGGTAACGCAGTGACAGGAAGCCCGCAGCGCCGCGCTCGCCTCACCTGCGTGGGGGTGATGATGGGCACGCCCCCCACAATGTCAGTCCTGTAAGACACCTGCTTCTTCCCACATTCACCGCGCCGGCTTAGGTTTTCAGAGTGAGGCAGGGCGTCGGACTGCTTTGGTACCTGAAAGAGTCGAATGAGTCCGTGTGCGCATCCAGCATGACTGTGTGACCCACTGTCACCTCAGAACTGGCAGCCAGTTGTGCATGAATATAAAAGCAACTTACATAAATCACTTACAATATGTATACCTCTTTACCTGCTCACGCCAATGCTTCTGTTACAGCAACGCTTTAGAGCGCAGCCAGCTTACTGGGCGCTGACCTGAGCCACTGCCAGTCCAGCTCCCTTTCCGCCTGAGTCTCCTCTCGGCCCTACCGGCACAGCGGGATCATCTCTGCTGCAGCGATGAGAAGCAAGCTCTGAGGAGGCAGCAGGCGTAAGCGGAGCTCGGGGCTGGGCTGAGTTCGGCTGGGGCCGTGAAGCTTTTCTTCCACGCTCAGCTGGACACACACTGGGGTGTGCTGGGCTGGGCCACCCCCTTCCCTCTCCTGTAAGCCCACCTGAGATGCTGCAGGACTGTGGCCATGCCATCATGACTGGCTACAGCAGACAGGCTACTGCTGACAACACTAAGTATGTGGTGAATGTGAGAAGACTGACTCAATATTGGGGTAAACCCACAGTCAGCAGGAAAAGATAAAATACTTAGCATGATTTAAAGTTGCAATGTTCATAATAACTTAAATCATATACGGAGCTTTAGAAAAGAATTCCAATGCCCTTGTCCATGAGAAGTGTTACAAAATGTTAACTTATGACTGCAGGAGTAGCACAATGTCACATGTCAACACCCCAATAAGCAGTATCAAGCATAGCATACCCCTATTTTAGTTTGCCTTATGTGGCTGAATTGGGGAACAGTCTTTCTTTCTTTACATGTTTCATGTGGTCTGTCTGGATTCTACATTTTTAAGGCTTTGGAAAATATGGTAATACAATATGCTCTGCTCTACAGTTATAGTAGTGAACATGATTCAGTTTCTCCAAAGATTTAAAGGGTATCTGAGGACCTTGCAATCTTTCAGACACATGACAAATACTCAAGAATAGTGGTGCAAAACATTTGATTTAAAATTAAACCCCTCGCCTGTCGCGCAGTTCATCCCTGGCAACAGGTCCTGGCATTGCCTACTGGGGACCATTCACACCAGTCAGACCCCAGCCACCGCTAGCGTGTGCCTAAGCAGTGTGCTTTCTCAACGCTGGCAAACGTGAAGTACCACCCAGGAACTTTATTAAAAATGCCATACCCTGAGGCCCCGTCTCCCAAAGTCAGGGGCAGGCAAACCTACCGTGCAGCCCACACAACAGTACTTCCAGCAGAACCCCAGGTGCTGCCCAGGCAGGTGTCTCACGAAGCACATTTGGGCAAACGCTGCCCAGGGTCCCGCCCTGGTGTAGGCTGCTACCCCCACCAGCTGCGCGAAGGAGCTGTGGACAGTGGAGTGTGCCGACCAGGCTTTTCAGACGGTTCTATACAACACTGGGCAATATGGTCCATGTGTGCATGAGAAACGCTGAGCCATGGTAGATCCCAACTCACATAAATATAATCTGCAGGTAGAAATAGCTGGTGTCTGGGGAATTCTGAACCACACTCTCTCTCCTTCCCTTCTTCTAATCCCAGAGTGAGGCCTCCCGTGAGGCTTTCACCCAGGCCTCAAGCCCAACCCTCCCCCCTCACATCCACATCTACAGCACAGGGCCAGTCAGTCTAGGTAGAAACAACAGAGAACGAGAGAAACAGGTTGGAAGAGAAGAGGACTGAGAGAGAGCAGGCCAGCGGGAGACGGGCTCCAAGACCCTCGTGGGCCTGTCCTAAGAGGCCAGGTGTCTGCAGTGCTTCTCAATGCAGTATGAAACCGGCAGACTCTTGAGATCGGCAACACGGACTCACTGAGAAAGGCCAGGGGGGCTTCTAATGAACACCACACACCCCAGGCCTTCTGGCAGAAAACATGGACAAGCTGCCCCATCAAAAACAGAAAAGAGCTTGAAGAAAATTTGAAACCAGAGAGAAGATGATCTGTTTGGCTGTTTTAGCTGAAAATGTGCTGCTAAGAAGTGACCCATATGAAAACAGCTATTCCCTTTTTCAACAAGTTGGGGGTTCAGTCAAACATGGAAATTTCCATAGAAAACACCCTTAATGGTACCTTAAAATGCACAAAACTTGTATTGGTTTTTCCATTTTTCTTCCAGGAAATGAAATTTAAAAAACTGTTTGCCCTATGGTGATGGCACTTGAATGATGTGGTGACGGGAAGCCCACGGGGATTACAACTGAGTTGAAAAAACGCACAAAATGATGTAAAAATAAACATATATATATAAAATACAATAGTACTACTTAAAAAGAAAATTGTTTGCCTATTCTGTTAAGGCCACTGTTCTCATTCGTCCTTACAACAAAACGCTGAACAGTTTCGTTCCAGAGTTCCAGATTTTACAAAAAGCTATGTGAATTGTACCATCTCTAAGAAAAAGCGAAATACCCACCAAGTAACCCCTTTGAAGTTCTGCATGACAGTCTGGGCCAGCCCAGTCACTCCAGCAAATGTGCTTTCAGGACGCAAGGAGGCGGCCCGGCAAGGGTCTGCGAGCTGCAGCGCGAGCGGCGGGCGCAGCCTGGGCCCGCCTGGGCCGGCCCCCTCTCCTGCTTGCTGTCCTGCTCATTGGGCCTTTTTCTGCGAGAGACTCCCATGGACTTTTAGGAGGCATTTACACAGGATCCTAACAGGAGGAAATTCTTACAGGAAAAGGCAAAAATGACTAAAGAATGAAGAAATGAAGGAAATGGACGCGAAGGGCAGAGCTCGAAGCCTGGCGCCCGCCAGGTGAGACGCAGAGTCCGGAGCCCCAGCCCTCCCGAGGGCCACCCTGCAGACACCCCTGCAGGCCGAGCCCCCACCCCCAGCCCCCGCCGCCTTCAGCCTACTCTGTGCACTCTTGCTGCCAACTTAAAGCCTATAATGGGAAAAGACACTTCTAAAAGCTAGTGGGTTTCCGTTTAAGAACACATCTAGAACGCACCTAGGTCTTGGCCGATCCTTCAACTCAGTAAGGGGCCAGAGCACCGTGTTAATGTGACTCTTGTAAATGAAGATCTAGGGGAAAGCAGGCTTCAGAAAGTGATTTTCAAACTCTAGTCATTAACACTCTCTTCAGGATTGACTTTTTTTCTAAGGCCCTTTCTTTTTCTTCAAATAAAGGGGAAAACAAGCCAAAGGGTAGCCACCAACAAATACTCAGACTTCAGGGAAGTAAAGCAACGGCCTCTGGTGCTGGCGGCCAGTGCCTTCCGGCTGGGCACTATAATTAGGGAGCAGTTAAATAATCACCATCCCTTACCACTACCTCTCACCACCCCCATTCTGAAACCAAGTATTTCTGAAACCTAATTTTGGATTTCTAAAAATTCTAAGTTTGTACATCACATTGTACTCAGCAGACCACTAAATTACATAGTTGTCGTTTGAAATGAATTCACAGAAAAGTAAGCTGCGCATACACTAAAAAGTAAACTTTACTTTTCCAAAGAAATCTGCACATAGCAACAGCAATTTCCACAGGAAGTGTGGCAACTAATACTAACACATTTACACATGTGTAAAATGCGTGAGACATAAGCTGGCAAGATTTTTTAAAGAGCAAATTAAATGTATCTTATTAAAGCATGGGGAACTTTTACTGCTCTCCTATGAGCTGAATGTGTAGCTAACATAAACATATGCACCAGTGCCAGCAATTCTGTATTATTTCAATATAATAATAATCACTTGGTTGACAAAGATTCCTGTATCTTGTGTGCATTTGTATTTTCAAAATGTGAATTACAAAAACATATCATTCATGAACATTTAAAACTCTGTAAAATTTCAACATGTAAAATAAAGCTGCACAACCATAAAAGCTATTTTTAAAACATTACCCAAGCCCTAATAGTTTCTCTTGCATTAAATAAATTTAACAAGGTCATTTATATAGCCTCCTACTATTAATAAACTAGATACAGAAAGTCAAGCACCCAGCATGGATAAAGCCTAACACCGCTGCCTGTTCTCACAAAGCACCTGAGAAGCCAATGCTGCTTATTACTGCAAAGTGTAAAACAGGAATTGAGCAGTTACCAGATAATTGTTTTTCTAAAAAAAGTTTGCCAAATAGAGAAAGCCTATTTATTAGGAATTAAAAACAGCTACGTTTTTCTTATAGTAATAACACTTCTGAAATGGCTCGAGAATTTGCTTTCCTGAAACTGCACAAACTAAACTAACTTCTGCTTCACGGACAGACCAGATGCCACGTGTGGGTGTTGCCGTCATGTGCGACAGGCTGTGCCGGTGGGGCCAGCAGGGCTAAGCGCTGAGGACAGCTTCGGTGACATTAACTCTGTATTGAGTGACACACACACATGGGATCACGTAGCCCAGCTGGGGACTAACAAGTGGCGAGCGTACACGGACTGCAGGACGTGTGCTTCCGAGAGTAAGCTGCGCAGGTCAGAGAAAGCAGCTGTGCTTCGGCAAACACACCTCACGCTACACAGACCTCACCCAGAATTCCTTCCTGACCCTTCCGTGGCCTACTGTGTGTTTCTCCACAAGTGAGTAAGGAGGAAAAAAGACATCTAGTTAAGGAACAGGACTGATTCATTTGCTCATCATCGTCAGAAAAGCCTGCTTTGGCTTCAGAAAAAGAAGGGTACAGAAACGCTTCTGCAGGCAGCAGGAAGGCTCTGTGCTTCCGTCAGGACCTGGACACCACTTTACTGGTGGCAAAACTCACACCAGTCCCCAGTCCTGCCAGTGTGATCCTCAACCGTACCTGTATCCCTCCAGACAGCTCAGGCATCACCTGCCTCTGGTATGGCAAAACCTCACTAAGGGGGAGTGCTCGGCTCGGTAGAAACCCTCAGGAGAGAAGCCAGCGGAAGCCAGCAGCTGCAGCAGGGGGCACAAGGGCCAAGCACTGGACTCGCGGGGTCAGGGCGGCAAGGCACGGGTTCCCGCCTGGCAGCCACAGCTCTTTGGGTCCAGACCCCATGCTCCCCAGGCCCCCACGTCCCGCCTGCTCGCACATCAGTCCTCGTCACAGCTCAGGGCTGACAGGAGCATCTACTCCTGTCACTGGGAAGGTGGCACAGAACTTCATAGTCATCAGGGCAGGATCGAGATACCGCCCTGTAAATGCTGCTCTAAGCAGTGCTAAATCTACAGGAAAATCTTCTCATGAGGTAGAGAGTAGGTCAGAGAGACATTCATGGGCTCACATGAGGACCAATAATCACCATGTACAAGAAACTGTATCCAGTCGAAACCCTTCTTTGAAACAAACTTTAAGTGTGCAACATGCTGGTGAGCTGAGCACATTCAGTCGTTGTATTTCTGAAAATAAAGATTACTTTCAGACATTTAAACAAAAAAGACTAATAGGAATACTTACTGTAATTTTAATAGCTTTGTTCAACACATTGACCCATTCTACTAGGTCCTGCTGGTCATTGGCTTGTAGGAAGTATTTCCTCATCCCTGCATTCATAACTGTTGAGAGAAAAAATAAACCACAGCACACGAACTTTTGACTTGTGATCTCTAAACTTATGTTTGCAGCAGCTAAAAACAGTGCTAGGTTTAATATTTGGATTTCTGGATTTGAGAAAACACATCTTGTTTAAACCACTTTCTAATCACTTAATATTGTCAGCAAAACTTTTTTTTAAAGATTGATCTATTTATGAATACAAGAACTGGGGTGCAAGCCAGAGGTGGGAAGCAGGTGAGAGGATTCAACAGAAACAGAGTGGAGAGCAGAAAGGCAGACTGACTGAAATCCACTGCAGGGCAGCAGCGGGGAGACAGGAGAGGTCTGCTGTGCCCTGTGGGTCACTCCCTGGCTGGAGATCAAACTGCAGCAGCTGTGGACAGCTTCATAATGCTGTGCCTTAACCCACTGCACTCCAAGGGAGGGCCCTAAAACTCATTTTTAATAGCCATATTTTTTACTAAACAGATATACAACAATATAGTTATAGCTAATTCCCTAACAGTGGACATTTAGGCCATTTCTGATTTTTGAAGTTCAATAAAATACCCCTATAAAGCATATATACATCTCTCTCCAGACTTGGCTAGCAGTTCTGTAGGGTAGAACACAGACTGCTAACACAGATTTGTTGAATCACAGGATTCACACTTAAAATTTCATACATATTGGCAAATAGTCTTCCCCAAACATTAAATCCACTTGCACGCCTCCCAACAGTGCGTGTAAGGCTTCCCCTGCTCATCCCCCTGGTCTGCTCATCCCCCCAAACAATGATCAGAACAACGACCATGATCAGAACGACCAACGATCAGAAGAACGACCAACATTGTGGGGGATTAGCTGAGGCACCCCCTGCTGCCAAGGCCGCGTGGCTATGTGACTGGGGAGCCCGCAGAGGGTCTTTCCTAAAACTCCTGGGCCGTGGGAGGCACAGGCCAGAGCCCTGAGCAGGGCGCCCAGCTGACTCTCCTCCAGTAGAGCAGCAGCTCCTGGCTGTGGCCACACCTACTGCGGCCCCTGCGGGCCAGCAACTTGCAAGGACCCCTTCTCCCTGGCTGCATCAAGCCCCTGTGAACTCAGCCTTCCAGCGGCTGCAGGGCCACGGCTTCTGGGTCAGGAAGACCCAGAGGGTGTTTCCCTGGCTGGGCCCTGACTCTTCTACCAGCTGGCTAGTAAGCAATCACCTCCTGAGTAAGTCTCAGTTTCTCTGACTTGGGAGGTGATTATTTACTAACCAGCTGTGATCAACGAGCTGGACTTGTGTTTCGTGAGCTTAATTTTCTTTCTCGAGTTATTTTTTATGAATTTTTTTTTTTTTTTTAGCTTAACCCTAGTTTTCTCACTTGCATGCTTCCTTGTCTTTGGTCTGTACATTATGATCACAGTATCTCTGACCAAACAGGTTCAGTTTTCAATGTTTTCCTATACCCACAGTAACACTAGCTTTCATACTCAGAAAATACTTAGAAACCTCCCTGACTCAGAATATACAAATAAACACCTTTATTATTCTAGTATTTATATATTTGTTATGCTTAGTCTTAACACATTTGGGACTTAATGCAATTTAACTCACACATGCCCCTTCAGGTTGATTTGCCCACATAGACAGTTGTCTACAAACGACAGTCAACCCTTGAATTCAACTTTACTAATTAGCCATCACGTGCATTTATTTTTTAAAACATTATTCTAGAAGTCAAAGTATCTTTGCTGTACTTTTTGAGATAGGAAAGTAACTTCCAAAAGTCTCCTCAAAATTGTTAATGATGACATATACCAGCACTCAGCTGAATATGACTAAGGGAGGGGAAACGAAAACCCTCAAGGAAAAAAGTTTCTCAAACACACAAGATTTTGAAATTGGGACTGAGACCAAGACACTAAACCAGAGCTTCCTTGAATTGAGATGAAGGTCTCAGAAAGGAAGTCAAATCGTATCTTGTGACTACGTGCTAGAAAACAGCCAGCCTGGAAAGTAACTTAAAACGCACTACAAATGCTCTTTTACATCATTCTAGAGACTGGAGAAAGTACATGTACCACAAGGACACATTAGTAAATCATATAGCTAAGGTATTATTTCTGTCAAAAGACAGTTTTTGCCTTTAATTTCTAAAAAGACTGGACGAGTCTTCTTTAGGCTGAAGCTCAGTACCCCACCGCTCCCCCCCGAGTTAAGGCCTCTGCAGAAGCTGAAGGTCTAGGCACAGAGTAACCTCCCTGTGGCCCTCCCTAGACACACTGAATGAGTGGCGTCACCCTTTAAGGAAGGGAGAGGGCAAACGCATCCCTACAAGGACACCAGAGGCTGACTGGCCTGCGCCGCAGGCCCGCCGGCGCCAGCCACTTACGAGTTGAGCGCCTAGGCCCCTGCTGCCCTGAGCGCCGTTCGCCCTGCTGGGAACTGGGAGGCGCATGTGTCGGGACACTGGCCTAGAGCCGGGCAGGTGGCTGTCCTCCATCACCCCTAGCACCAGCAACCCACCTGGACAGGCCCCACAGGAGCTCTGTGGGAATACAGAGTGAGTCCCTGGAAAGTGGGGTGTCAGCAACGTGGGGGTGGGGACACTGACTCAAGAAACTGTGTACAGAGTGGTCTGCTGTGCTCTGAAAGCGAGGGTCCCCTCGCGTGGCGTGAGCACACCGTCCAGGTCCTCACCAGCCTTCACCTGAGAGCGGCTTTCTCCTTTAGGATCTTTGTCATCAGAGCAAACACACGAAATGGATGCAACACTAGCTTGATGTGTACAAAAATCATCTCCCAGACAAGGTCAACTGCTTATGTGCAAATGGCAGAATGATAAGATCAATGGTTTTGAGGCATTCTATCTTCTGATCTCCTTGTGGATTTTCTGTGTATCCTCTCCTCTTTCTGTTAATAAGATGTTAGAGTCTCTAATTATATTTCTCTCCTGTTATCTAGGTTTGTCTTTATTTCACTCTTTCTTGAGCCTTTTCACTAACTCACATTCTTTTCCTGTACGACAGTTTTCTCTCAGCAGATGTCATATAACCACGCACTGTCCTAGGCCTTCCTAACTGGCAAGCTCTCCTGGCAGAGGTGCCCAGAAGTCAGTACCTACCCCCGATCTCCTCCCTGTTGCCCTCGAGTTCTTATCCTGCCTAAGTTGCGCCACCTGATGCTCGGCTGGCCCCGAGACAGCAGCATCCTGAGGGAAGACTCATTTGATGCTCTTTTCAGCTTCCTGCTTCACCTCAGCCTCCCCTGAGACTAGTGCCCCAAGCACAGGCATCACTGATTCTATTTCTGCAGACACAAAACATGCCAGTTCTTGCTGGAAGAAGGGCAGGGGCTATCTGACTGGACCAGCTGGAAGCAGGGACTAGAGGTCATTTCTTGCCTTTTTTTTTTTTTTAAATGCATACAGAACTGGGGTACAGACCAGAGGGTACAGGGGCAGTGAGAGGATTCACTAGAGGCAGTAGGGAGCAGAACAGGCAGATCGACAAAGCACACTGCTGAGGGGAGCAGCGGGCGGGTCAGGAGGGGTCTGCTGCGCCCTGTGGGTCACCTCCAGGGCGGGGATCGAACTCGCAGTGAAGCGGCTGCAGCCAGCTTGCAGTGCTATGCTCTAACCCATTGCGCTACCAGAGAGGGCCTAGAAGTTGTTTCTTACATGGACTTCAGACAAAAGCCTGTTCCCTGCCTCTCCCTCATTGGAAGTAGCACGGACCTAACGCTAGCAAAGTTGGGGTGAGGCACGACACCACAAGGTCAGCTCTCCTTTGGCCTCTCCTCTGCCTCGTTTTCACCCCCCACACGCCCCACTTCCTAGACTGCGGCTACAGATCCAGCAATGTCTGCTGGTCTCATCAAAAATGCTCTGGTGTTTCTTGCTCTCACTGCTTCTGGGCAATCTGAAAGGAAACGGGGGAAATCTTGATGCTGCTGCTATTTTGGAGGGAAGTCATGGTTCACTTTAGAAGGCAGGGCTCCCTCCTGAAGGCAAACGTGACTCTTGCTCCTCTGGTAGGAGAGGGCCCATCAATTACTGACAGGCCAGCAAATGGCCGTGCTCGTCTTTGATTCCAACTAAAATCCACCATTCTAAATTCTCCAACTGAGTATCAAATCTACTGCTCTATATTCCCAGTCCTTCCAAACTGTAATTCTGAAGTTTTACACAAGAGGACATGAAGAGTGTGTGCCTCATACATCTGAGACAGTTTGCCATGGCCCTACCTGCCCCAGAAACCAGCCTCTCAGACACAGGCTCAGGCACCTTCGTATTTAATAATCGAAAGTATAAATCTGCAGAAAGACAACCTTTTTTAGTTTCTCAGGGGGGTGAAGGCAGGAGGGGGAGCCCCTGGACAGCAGACCTGCCCGGCACCTCGCTTCCCTTCAGCTCCCACAAATCCAGCCCAGTCCCTGTCCTTGTCCTTTTAATGCTTGCCCTCCCTCCTCTTTGCCCCACCCTAATTCATCAGGCCTTTATCTAAGTATAGTGGTTCAAAAGCCACTTAACTCATCTAAATGCATCAGAACTCTCCTGGCCAAAAAGGAATCACCAACTTCTTCCCTCTAATTTCTCCTCTCGTTAAAAGAAATCACCCACCAACACTCGACACCTGCCCTCGGCCCGCCGCCTCTGGCCTCTCCTCAGTCCCTCTCCCTCCACTCAGCATCTGCCCCTCCCCTGTGCCTGTGGGGATCCTGCCACCTTCCCTGCCAGTGGTAGGGGATGTGATGACTCAAGGCCAGCAAAGGGCTTCGTGCCACGCGGCTAGCCTGATCCCAGGCCCCACTGAGGACCGAAGCTCTGCCCTGTGCTCAGTGACTACACCTCTTCACTTGTTCGATGTTGCGCGTCATTGCAAGCATCGGCCTGCGCCAGCCCTGGCCGCGAGCCCACGGGCAGCGGCTTCGGCCCCAGCCCCGTGTGAGCCCAGGGCCAATGCACTTGTCGTTCCCCAATGTGGGCTGAGCAAACTCCTCCGCGGCCCCAACATCCCTGTCCTCAGTCTGTGAACTCTTCTTACTCACCCACCATAAGCCAAATCATGTTCGCCATGTGTGTATCGACTGTAGGCGGATACAGGCAGGAAGTAGGAAACCACCTGAACTATCACTAGAGGTGACCGCTGTCCACACCTAGCGCGATTACACACGGGCCGGGCAGGAGCGGCCGCGATGGGGCGAGGCTCAGGAAGGGGGCTTGAGGGACGCACCTGGATGGCGTTTCAGCGAATTTGCCTTAGAGTTCCTCCCTGACCAGGAGTTTCGTGTTGTGTGACTTTCTGTGGCTGTTTTCCTTTCACTGGGATGTAGTTATATGAGTCTAACTGAAGAAACTTAACAGAAAAAATGACTACTTACCAAAACAGAACTCGGCCTTCGGCCTTAGCTTAGTCGCATCGCTAACCTGACGGAGAAAAGAGAGACAAGTCACTCACTTCTTCGTGTGATGCTGTAACCAATCTAACATGTGTAGACATCTGCACAGGATTTCCCAACAATCACACATGGAGCACACAGACCTAAAGTTAAACCTGAAAGTCTGAAATTTAAAATTAAACTGCTTGAGGTGGCACAGGGGTTAAAGTCCTGTGCTATCTGTGGCTGCAGCCAGCCACTGCAGCACAAGTTCAATCCCCAGCCAGCCAGGAGCTGACCCACAGGGCGCAGCAGACCTCTCCTGTCCCCCCACTGCTCCCCTCAGCAGTGTGTTCTGCTCCCCAGTCTTTCTCTGTTGAATCTTCTCACCCCCGCAACTCTGGCCTGCACCCCAGTTCTTGTATATATAAATAAATGTTTTTTTAAAAATTAAACTGCTTCGGAGAAAAAGGAATTCTCCTGCACTGCTGGTGGGAATGCAAACTAGTACAACCACTATGGAAAACTGTTTGGAGGTTCCTCAAACTGCTAAACATGGAGCTGCCCTACAACCCAGCAATCCCACTCCTAGGTATCTACCCAAAAGACACAAAAACACTGATTGAAAAGATACTTGTACCCCCATGTTTATTGCTGCTTTATTTACAATTGGAAAAACATGGAAGCAGCCCAAATGCCCAAAAGTAGGTGACTGGATTAAAAAGATGTGGGACATATATACAATGGAATATTACTTAGCCACCAAAAAAGAGAAACACATGTCTTTTGCAGCAACTTGGATGGAGCTGGAAAAGATCATGCTTAGTGAGATAAGCCAGAAAGAGAAAGAAAAATACCGATGGTTTCACTCATAGCAAGAATATAATGGACCAGGCGAGAAAATAACAAAAATAATGAACCACCATATACCAGAGACATTTTGTGGGGGTGGAGTAGGGAATGGGATCAAAAACGGGGGAGGGGGTAGGGGAGGGAAATGCACAGGACTATGGTGGTGGCACACGGGTGATTTGGTGATGGGAAGCCCATGGGGATTACAATCGAGATGGAAAAAAAAATGTGCAAAATGATGTAAAAATAAACTTTTGTAATAATTTAAAAAAAAAATTAAACTGCTTCAACTTTAAAACTGAAAAACAGGCCCTCCCTGGTGGCGCAATGGGTTAAAGCACAGCACTAAGAAGCTTAAGCCACTTCCCAAGAGTTCGATCCTGGCCTGCCCTGGAGGTGACCACAGGGTGCGGCAGACCTCTCCCGACCCACCCGCTGTTCCCCTCAGCAGTGGACTTCGTAGATCTGCCTGTTCTGCTCCCCTCTCTGTCTCTGGTGAATCCTCTCACCCTCCGCATCTCTGGCCTGTACCCCAGTTCTGTATAAATAAATAAATCTTAAAAAAAACCTGAAAAATAACTGTAAATTAAATATAGGATGTGAATCCCAACTGTAAGATGTTTAAAACAGGTAATACAGGGCCTCCCTGGTGGTGAAGAGATTCAGTCTCAACACCATGTGCTCAACGCCAGCCAAGGAACTGGCCACACGGCACAGCAGACCTCTCCCACCGCTCCCCTTGGCAGTGTATCTCAATCTGTGTGTTTGGCTCCCCAGTCCATCTCCAGTGAATCCTCTCCCCCTCCCCAACATATCTCTGGCCTATACCCCAGTTCCTGTATGCATAAATAAAAAAAGTAATTTTTTTTAAAAAAGTGATGCATCCATGTTTCTCTGAGCAAACTTGTTTTTCTTCAAAGAAATGTGCAGTTGAAAGTAAACCATTAAGTTTGTGTCATACATAAATATTTTTAGTTTAATACTCCCAATGAATACATCAGAGAAATGATGAGTTCCTACCAAACTGCCTATTTCTAAACTAGCTGAGAACTGCAGGAGAGCACGGAGGTAGGAAGGGGTAGAAGAGACTCAAAGTTCCCAAATCCAGGAGGTATTAACCTGAAGTGGCATGACCCCCCCCCCACATTGTACACCAGAATTCCTGGGACACAAGGGTCACCTGTTCCTTTCAGAAGTGAAGCAACTCTCCGAACCTAGCCACTGCTCTCTTCAGACAGTGCTGCTCTTCCCACAAATCCATTCACAACATGGCCAGGCTGCTACCCAGTGTTGGCACTTACAATCCTACTCCTGTTGGGGACCTTGATGAAGCACTCTAAGTCTCAGGTTCTTTGCTGACCCCAACAAATTCACAGCTTTACGTCACAGTGAAATGCATTCCAGGAATAAAGTGTGGGGGAAGAGGCCTGTCTGAGTGGGATCCGGACCATCCAAGTCAAATGCAGTGAGCCGCAGCACTGAGACGCACGTCAACAGCCCAACGGTGAAGGCTGGATTTTAAAAGGCGCAACGAGGGCGGGCAGGCAGCTGACAGTCAGCCTGCTGGCTGTGCTGAGAAAATACTTTCTTTTTAAAAAACCTCCCACTTTTGAAAGTCCAGGCAACAGCAACTGAAGAGACACAGGCCCCGCAGGCTGCCTGCCACGCGTGTGCCATGGATGGCGGGCTGCTTCCAGGGCTCACACACAGACCGCGGGCAATCCGGTCTAACGCACCCACAGCAGAGTTCTAAGCCCTAACAGTACTCGCAACACAATGGAAGCTGCAAGCTACCCTGAAGCATTTATTAAAGGAGGCTTAAAACTGACAGAAATCCTTGTCTACATAAACAATTTGTCTTTTGTAAATTTACATTTTAACATAAAATGTTTCCCCTAAATATGTAATCTTTATATCCAGTGGCTTTTGTCAAAGTATTTTATTTATAAAATTGAAGCACATTTCTAACCCGCCTTCTGCCGGAGCCGCCGCTGACAAGCCCAGCGCCCACGGCACAGCAAGCGTGTGCGCGCTGCTCAGCCATCCTGCTCCTGCTCACAGCCCCATCTTAAGTAAGGAACTTGTCATTCTGTGTAAAACACAGAAAAACTCCAGGGCTGCAGTTCAGCACCTTAATCTCAGTTCCCAAAACACTAACATAAGAATACAAGGAAAAAACTACTTGACAATATCTGGTGAATAATTTTAACAATGTGTAATGTGTTGGTTAAATCATTCTAAAATAAAGTATCCTTATCACATGAAAGAAAAAAACTACTTGACAATATCAAGTCTAAATATTTTAAAAGAAAAGAAAAACAGTTACTGCAAATACCAGAAAAATCAATAAAGAAGACAGAAATTGGGAAGGACAAAGTGAAATAGGGGAAGTAGCATTCTTTCACCTTGAAGACGGTTAATGCCTCTCAAAATAAAACCTAACAGAAAGTCAAAGTAATGAGAATAAAAATTAGGAACAGTTTAAAACAAGTTAAGTAGATTTAGAAAAATCTCGACATCCCCAACAGGCAATCCAACTGTGAACTGGTATCACTCTGGAATTCAAGCACCTGATCATAAAACCAACCTCTGCAGTTTGCTACGACCTTCAAGTTAACCCTCTGTTCTTCCTAATCCATCAGAGCTTCCTGAACAGCACCTGATGCCATCTTCAGCACGAACCCAACATCAACGCTGAGTGACACAGAAGGGAGTCCCTCCCTTTGCTTCTTTTACACCCACCATCAATGTAGCAAGCTGGGAGTCGCCAATCAAGGCATCCGTGACAGCAAGACTCAGGCCGTGTGTGGCAGGCACACACTCGGGAGAGCGGAGAACAGAAAAGGTGTGTCTGCTGAGACACTCTGCTGAGAGACAACGGGCCGGACGGGGCGCTCCTGATGCTGGAGGCCACCTCTTATTCCTACTCCAGTCTAAGTAATTTCACCCACACAAACATGAGGCAGCACGGAAAGATTACCTTTGAAATGTAGGTCAGCTTAATGGCTCCAACACGGGATGACCCAGAAGGTAGGTTCTGGAAACAAGTGATTAACATATAATTAAAACAGAACATTGAGAATCATTTTGAATGTGTATGGTCTACACATAAAGAAATTAACATTTTTTTATTACCACATTTTACAGAACAACTTTTCAGCTCAAGTATTTGCTAGATCTAGAGTCAAATGGACATCGTGGGTCACAGGACTAAACTCTTCCACCACAGTGCAGCCGCTAACGGAAGGCCATTTTATCAGTAATGCTGAACTCAGTTTCTTTTTCATGAGTTTAAAAGTTATAACACTATTTTTTCCTGATAGCAATGGGAAAAAATAGAGATATGAAAAAAATACCATTCTAAGAAAGTCATATACATGCTTCTATACACAAACATATATACAACATACATATTTTCACTTTGTATTATTAAAATTTAAACCAAATACATCTTTTAAAAAGATTAGATTCCCTCCTCATGTAAAACATACTTTTAAATACACTTGAAAGTATTTATTATACTATGGAATACTTGTTATACTTACCTTACACTGATACCATTTTCCAAAAAAAAAAAAACTTAGATGATACTCTTTAAAATATAAGCAAGGAATACATATAATGGCACTTTCATACAAAATATTTTTATTCTTCCCTTAATAAAGTCGATGTGTGGTTTTTGTCTTTAAAGAGCTAAGGATATACTATTAAAAAAAAAAACTAAGGATAAAAAATTAAGAATGAGAATCATTTCCACAAAGACTATCAGGAAAGACTCTGGGAGAGTGACAGCACATAAGCTGAATTTTAAAGGAAAATTCTGAGACTCAAAGAAGAGGTGAGAGAATGTCCCAGGCAAAGCAAGCAAGTGCAGTTATGGAGCAAGCAGATGAAGCTGCCCAGAGGCTCTGCGGGGCACGGGGGCGCCATGCAGGGCTGCAAGACAGTGTCGTAAACAGGACCTAATGAAAGCAGAGTAGCAAGACCATTAAAGCAGTCCTATAATTAAAACTGTGTTTTGATTAATATCTTCTAAATATAACAAACTGGATGGATTGTAGGGGCAAGGAAGAGACAGGAAAACTAGGTAAAAGAATATGGGGAGAAAAAAAGAGACGAAGACTGACGGATGATCTCCGACATGAGATGAGACAGTCTCATTCCGCAAGTTTCTTCCAAGGCGGGCTGCGCGAAGGGCTGGCTGTGGCTGACACAGGTCTCCAAAACCCCCGCTCCTGCTCTTCCGCTATAAACTTACAAGCAAATTTGCATCCACAGTAAAATGCAACAATTTTAAAGGGGAGAGTATGACTTTAAATGGCTCTGTTCTTACACAAAATATTTTGTGGCTAGCAGTTTTTGCTTGTTTTTTTTTTGTTTGTTTTATTTTTGGATAAGGAAATGAAAGGTTATAACGTCTTCAAGATCCCCTAACTACCACCAAAGTGCTTTTTTTCAGACACTGCTACCCTTCTACTCGAGGCTTATCTTCATGTGAACTAGCTGAATGCAGCTATAAGTCTCTGCGTGAGAAAGAGAAATGAGAAAGTGTCATGGCAGCCTAGCATACTGGGCCACAGGCCACAGTGGCGTGGCGCAGGGAAACGCAAGTAGCTGAGATCATGAGCAGCGGCCAGTTCAGCACAAGTTTCTGCCGGTCAGAACCACTACTGCCAAGAGAACAAAGTGGGCTCAACGATTGTAATTTAGTAGTAAACAACAAATAAAGAACCTGTATGGCACGGTCAAGATAAAAGGGCAACTAAGCCATTTACCCTTATGAATTCCTGTGCTCATTTTGCCAAAACATTTTTTTCAAGTTCAATTCACTTTCTAATATGACTGTTTAATTCTCTACCATTACCCATGCACTCATCAAAACACAGTCCCAAGTTGATCCTTAACAATGCACTGGATTGGATCTTAAACTAATGGTTTGTGGTTAAAAAACAGGAGTGATCTGGTGATGGGAAACCCGCGGGGATTACAATCGAGATGGAAAAAAAAAATGTGCAAAATGATGTAAAAATAAACTTTGGAAAAAAAAAAAAAACAGGAGTGATCAGAGGAGAAATGGCTCCTGGCGCACAGGCAAGCCAAGCTGATCTGCCCTTTGTAAGCCTCTGGTGATCAATATAAACAAGGTGTGATTGTACAACTAGACTAACTCACATGACATCACTATTTGGGAGATTAAATAACTGCACTCGCAAGTTTCTATGGGTCAGCCTATAATAATCTTAGCAAGCTATTTTACTAAAGTTCCCATGAAGAAATACATTAGATTAACACGTGGAAAGGTGACCCAAAGCTGGCAGTGACGGCTAACAGAATGACTGGCAGAATCAAGACTGTTAAGATTCTCACTGGAATAAAGAGGAAAATGAGCAAAACCAAACTGCACAGAAACACAGTTTCCTGCACCACATTCAGAAAGTCCAATACGCTACTCACAGCACATAAAGACCAGTCTGTGCGAGCAAGAACCGGTCAGGGCAAACGTGAACACCAATGGCCCCTGGAGCCCAGTCCACTCTTCTCCAAAGCTGCCACAGGCGTGGGAGCTTTGATCTCTTTGCCCATGTCTCGCCCTGCTGATGTCTGTATACTCCCCCTCTCAGCCAGAGTCACAGCCGCTCTTCCAGGTCAATTTCGAATGCCACCACGTCCCCCAGACTCGCTCCCTCTGTGCGCTACCACCCATGCTCCAAATTCAAAGTTGGTTTCCCTCAGCAGAACAAAGATGTCCTACATGTACTTTAATTTCTTTCACTCTGTTTAATGGGAAATACTTGTGAGGAATTCAGGTGAGAATTTATAGTGTGTGAAGACAGAGAAACAACCAAGGAACTTTAAAGAAAATCCAGGAGAAAGCCTGTACCAGGACAAGCAGATCTGGACAGGAGCTACAGGGGGTGAGAAGTCAGAGCCGGAGGCCAGCAGAGGTAGTGAGCGGGAGGCAGGGGCTAAGCTGCTTTCTACGCAAGAAAAAGCACCCCGAAGGGAATGCGCCACAGGTAAAGAGATGGGGTCATCAAGGAATCTGATTTGTGTTAAAAAAAAAAAAGTAAACATGAAACTCTTCTGCAGACCTGTTGCTTCTCCAGCTGTGGTCAAGTAACTAACAGTATTAATCATGCCGCTCTCTACCACCCAGAGAGCTGGTCACACCCAGCCAAGCCAGTAAAACAGGGTGTCGATAGCACCAGAAAGACAGAGACAAAGAAGAGACAGCTCTCAGCGAGAAGCAGCAGTCCGTGCTCACGTAACATCAACTGGAATAAGCACAAAGCGCCCTCCATCATTTAGGGCTGCAAGGAGACGCAGCTTTACCTAACAGAGAAGCAGGGCACAAACGCAGAGTGAAATGGGTAGAAAACAAAAGGCAGCAGAATCTGTCTCACAGAAAAAATACTACGCGGGCTATGTCAAACGTAACAATACCTTCTGGGAAGGTGTGTTTCAAACAGCGGCTGAGACGAACAGGCAGGATGGCTAGTTTCGCGACTAAGGAGGAGGCTGTGTCAACACTGAGCTCCCTTAAAACTCAAATTCACGGTAAACAAACAAAAGCGCATCAGCCTGGCAGAACTGGTCACCCTACAAACCAGTGTGGGGCGGAACACTGCCACCCTCGCCGTCAAGACAGCTCGCCGCTATTCTGAGACGGAATGGTCCTTGCACCAGTCTGCTCTCCCTCCGCCTGCCGCTGCTCACCCGCACAGCAGCCAGGTCAGCTGAGGCTTCCAGGGACTCGTGCCTGGCTTTGCGCGCCCTTCCTCCCAGGCCCGTCTCGATTTGAATGGTGCGTTTCACAGGTAGAGAAGACGTAAGCCCTGGGACGAGGACGGCTCACCCGAGGGCTCCCTCGGATCTCAAACCCGGGGTTCTCGTTTTTAATCTGACATGTCCCCTGTGCTGTGCAAGGGCGACGGCCAAGCCCACCGAGCTCCGCATGGCAGCGGCAGGCACGCAAGGCCGCCACTGTGCTGAGGCGACCCCACGGTGGCCAGGCCGCCCAAAGGTAAGTAGTGTCAACGGAGTTAAAGCATGAAGCACTTTACCTTGAGCCTGAGGGACTCCAGAATTTTACACCAAAGACAGCTTTTCTCTTCCAAGGAGGAATAAACACACACATGCATGCATTTTTAGCAGGAAAGTGTAATTTCATCTTCCGGGGGTGCAGGCAGGGACAGTGCAGCCAGGAGAAACAAAAATACCCAGCATGCAGTGCTCAGGAGGCCAGCCCTAACAGCTGTGCATCCTGTCAGTTCTAGAATTAATACAATTCTGGGTGCTTGGTACAGAAAGGCGCCCTTGGGTTTACACACCTGTGGGTTATCCATGTACCAGACAAAGCTATCTTCTCTGGTATCCAGGATGAAGTACCGTCGAAGAAACTTCCCACTGTTCTCATTTTCTTCGATGTCTAGAAAACCACAAATGCGATTCTGACGATCCACATAAGGCATTTCTGAACTTGCACATCACACTGTAAAAGAAAGACATGGACAGTATTCCCCAGTGCACTTGGGCATGGAGTGTGCCTGCTACCCAGTTTGTTCAACAAGGAGCCGACAGTAACGCGAGCACACAAGCATGGGCAACGTCGTCGCTTCTGGAAGGTGAACGTGGCAGCTGCGGAGTGGGGCGCACTCCCCAAGGGGGCAGAGCAGTGCTGCTAGCCTCCGATTACTAGGTGACGACCCAAGACTGTCCAAACTTTAGCTCCCTCCCTGTTAAGACAAGAAAGTCCACCCCTCAGGTTCAGAGTGCCTCAGACACACAGACACGGCGGCCACACTGGTGGCCACTCTCCGAGGCTCCGTCCCACTCCCTCCCACTTAATTCTCAAATCCGCCCTACAAGCTGGCATCACCATCCCCCTTCCCAGCCAGGTCTCTTCTCTCCTACTCAGAAGGCAGGAAGGGAAAGGCCCTGCACAGACCCAGGCGCACAGCACAGACACCATGAGAAACTCCCCACTGAGAAGGGGAAGTGAGTGAGGACCCAGGCTAACTCCGAGGTGATGAATCAAAACATGAGCCCAGGCACCAGAGCTCTTAGCTCAGCATCTTAACCCCTACAGCACCCCGCCCCTCTAGAGCTGAGAACTGCTAAAAACTAAAATCAATATAAAGTTCGCTGACGTAAGGGGAAAAAGAGAGACAAACATGCCGTGAGCCGCCAGAGGGAAGCCCCAGCCTGTGCCAGAGAAGGTTCTGTCTGAGTCTGCTCAAGTCTGTAGGGCTCCCAGAGTCCACCCTGCAGGAAAGAACACGGAGGGCCGTGGCAAGAGGGATCACAGTGACTCCACAGGAGACGCCGGACCGCGGGACACAACACAAGCAGCCCGGTTTCGCCAGCAAGTTAATGCACAGGGAGAGTCACCGGCTGAAAGAGATGCCACAGGCATGTCATCTCCTACAGCTAACATACTGAAATTCTGTTGTACTAATTAAATATTAAAAAGCAGGACTTGGGGAAAATGCAGTCTTTCTGGCCATTCTTCTCTCAGTGACAGCAAATGATCCCTTCCTAGTAGGCGGTCAGCTGGCTGATCACTCCCCTTCTGGCATTTCCACCGCCAGCACTGGCAGTTTTAGGTAGGTTGACTTTATCAAACTAGTTCTTCAATTAAAGGTTGAAAACAAATTTAACTCAAAGTAAAAAATACACTCAGAAGACACCCTGGCATATATTGCACATCTAAGTCTCTACTCCATATGCAGTCAGAGAAATGGTGAAACAAACCAAAAGTTTTAAAACAAAAAAGTATCCATTAAGTTTATACATGTGCTATTATATGATACACCTGGGACTTAGAGGAGACAGCTTTTTTTAATAAACAGGACTACCACCTCACGCTATATACAACAACTAACTCAGATTGGGTTAGCAATCTAAATATAAGAAAAACTGACAATATAAAACTTCAAGGAAAACTGGGGTTAATCTTCATGACCTCGAATGAACTCTTAAATATGACATGAAAAACATAAAAGAAAATATAAGATGAATTTTACTTCATAAAAACAAAACATTTTTCTACATTAAAGGATATTAAGAGAATGAAAATAGCCTAGAGAATGGAAGAAAATTATTTGCAAATTATAAATCTGATAAGAGTCTAGTATCCTGAATATATGAGAAACTCTTACAACAACAAAAACCGCCTGACTAAGAAAAAAATGAGCAAGGAACTAGAAAAGACATTTTCCCCAAAGATGCAACTGGCCGAATAGAACACAAGCAGATACTTGGCATCGCCAGTCTAGGGAAATGTAAATCAAAACCACAGAGCGATACCACTTCAACCCACCTGATGGCTGTCCTAATTCAGAGAGAAAAAGAACGAATTTTGGCAAGTGGTGAAGAAACTTGAACCGTCCTACTTTGCTGGTGGAACGGAAAATGGTAAGAAAGAGTTGAGTAAACAGTTTGACAGTTCTTCAAAAGTTAAATACGAATTACTACATTGCTCAGGATTTCTACTACTAGTATCTACCCAAAGGGCTCGAAAAACAAGTGCCCCAACAATTCCACATAAATGTTTCCAGCAGCACTACTCACAAAAAGCCGAACTGTGGAAATGGCCCCAATGTCCACCATCAAGTAGAATGATAAGCAAAACAGAATATGCCTATATAACAGAATATTAGCCACACAGAGAAAGGAACGAAGCACTGGCATAAGTGATGCGCGCCGAACTCCAGCAGGGTATTTTATAAATTGACACAGTGATGTGTACACATACACAAATGATCTGGCGGAGGCAAATCGAAGGGCAAGTAGGGACACATACACTACTTGGCCGTAAGATGTGACAAGAAGATACAGCAGCGAAGACAGCACAGAACTAGTGGGAAACAGATACGCTAAGTAAGTGGAATAAAATCGCATCCTGAAACAGATTGCATACATGTGGTCAACTTTCAACAAAACGCCAGGGCAATGTATGGTGGAAAGACAGCCTGCTTAAAGCGCGTTGGAACAATCAATTATGCAACAAGAAAGCTTGGGGGGAAAACAGGAGAATGGGCCTCCCTGGTGGAGCAAGTGGTAAGTCTCGAGCTATCAAGCTATCAGCTATTGCCAGCCACTGCTGCATGAGTTCGATCCCTGGGCAGGGAGGGACCCACAGGCACGGCAGTCCTCTCCTGGCTCCTGCTGCTCCCCTCAGTGGTATATTGCAGTGGATCCACCAGTTCTGCTCCCCCCTCTCTAGGGAATCTTCTCACTGCCCTCCCCTGCACCTCTGGCCTGCACCCCAGCTCTTGTATGCATAGCTAAATAAATCTTTTTAAACAATAAAATAACCTATGAAAAAGCACAGAGATGTTCAGGTTGGGGACAGGGACAACCACTGACTGCGAAGGAGCACGGGGGCACTTTTCTGGGTGGGCTGTGGGGCGCTCACACAGGTGATATATGCATCTAGCAGAGCCACGTGTTTAGAAGGGTAAGGCTTACTGAATAACTGAATAACCCCGAATTGTTTTAGATGCCACACAGTCACTGCCAGCACCAAATGTTGTCCTAAGTGTGGTGCATCCAAAATGAGGTATGGCTGGTGGAAACAGGGCAGCAGCCACTCTAGCAAAATCCTGCCAGTAGACCCCACGCGTGACCTACTCTGGAGGAACCCCGCCAACCCATTCCTGGACGTTTACTCCAGAGATGGAAAATGTGATGGAAGTACTTACAGTGACTTCATTCATAATAGCCCCACGCTAGAAGCAGCCCAAGTGTCTACACAGGTGAAAAGATCGATAAGGTCGTGTATCTATAGCAGCGTACCTCACTTTACTGCATTATGCAGGCCTTGCTTTTGATTTTTAAAACAAATGGAAGGTTTGTGCAAACCTGTGTCAAGCAGGTCTCTCCGCCAGTCTCCAGCAACAGGTGCTTTCTTATGTCTCTGCGCCACGTCTCGGTAATTCTCCCAGAGTTTCAATTTTTTCCAAATTATCCCTGTGCAGTGATCTGTGGTCACTGACCTCACTGCTACTTCTGAAATTGCTTGGGAGGCACCACAAGCCATAAAAAGAACACACTTAATAGACAAAAGTGGTGTCTGTTCTGTCTGCTCTCCTGAGTGGCCTTCCGCTCACCAGCCCCTTTGGCCCTCTCTATTCCCTGAAATCCAACAATATTGAAATTAGGCCAATAAATAAGCTGGCAATGAGCCCAGAATGTTCAAGTGAAGAGCCACATATCTCACTTTCAGTCAAAATCTGGAAATGATTAAGCTGTCTTGAAGAAGGTATGAAAACCAGGATAAGCTGAAATCCAGAACACTTATACCAGTTAGCCAAGTCGTAAATGCAACGGAAATTTAAAATGGTACGCCAGTGAATACATGGTTGATAAGAAGGTGAAAGTCTTACTGCTAATATGGAGAAAGTTTTAGCGATCTGGACAGAAGATCAAACCAACCACTACGTTTCCTTGCGTCATAACCAACTCTATATCAAGGTCTAACTCTTCAACTCCATGCAGGCCAAGGGAAGCTTCAGATGAAAAGTGTGAACTAGCAGAGGTTGGTTCATGAAGTTAAAGAAAAGGAGCCGTCTCTATAACATAAAAGTACAAAATGAAACAGCATTCTGTGCTGACGTACAGCAGTGAAGGCGGCTACACAGAGACTGGTTCCTAAGGTAGACAGACGCCCGGGACGGGAAGACGCCTCCTGGGACTCCGGAGGAGACAGGAGAAGTCAGTGTCTGGCTTCCAAAGCTGCCAAGGGCGGCTGACAGTGGCAGGTGCTAACCCAGTGGGTGGGCTGCAGTTGAAGACAGTGTGCGTGTCCCCCAGGGGCTCTGGTGGAGACGTGCCCGGAGGGACGTGCTGTTTTCATCCTGCTGACAAGGATCCATGCCACAGTCCGCAGAAAGCAATTCTGACTTTCAAGTCTCATAGTAAATGCATCCTGTGATACTACTGCCGCCATAGCGATCCACCTGATGGATCCAAGCAAAGTAAATTAAAAAATTTCTAGAGAAGAAAACTTAATGATTCATTAACACCATTAAGATCTCACAATTCATGGGGAAAGGTCAAAATATAATACTAACTAGAGTTTGGAAGTTGATTCCAGCCTTCCTGTAGTTTTATGTCTACTTCTATAAATATTCACAATTCTTCCTAACAGAAAAGTCCAAAACCCATATACAGAAGTGCTTTGTCCTACAGACTGACAGGGATTCAAAAGTTTGACAAAATACCAATCCTAGTGGTGTAAAGAGTTAAAGCGTAGCACTATGAAGCTCTCCGAAGACACTATCAGCTTGATCCCAGGCCAGGCCAGGGAGCAGACAGATTGGCTCAGCAGACCTCTCCTATTCCACCTGCTGCTTCCCTCAGCAGTGGATTTCAGTCAATCTGTCTTTTCTGTTCCCCATTCTATGCCTGATCAACCAATCCTCTCATCCCTCTGCACCTCTGACTTGTACCCCAGTTTTTATATGCATAAATAAATAAATCTTAAAACAAAA